AGTGAGATGAAGGAAAGATGAAAATGTGTCCTCAGAGGATGGGGACATGTCAGGATCTGATGATCCAGGATCAACAGCTAGCAAGTTAACATGTTTAATAAACTAAAACTGGCGACATGAAGTATTAATGTTGATAAACTGTGGCACAGAACAGTCAGCTAACGCTTCACAATGGCAAAAAAAAATTGTATCTTGTTAAGAATAAAATGACCTTTGATGATGAATTATGGAAAATAGAACATGTAAGATGGCTAGAATATCTGTTAGATGTGTAAACCAGGCCATAAGCCGACAAATAATATATTTTTAGTGACTGCTAACTTTAAAATCAACCATGACACTTTCTGCTGTCAGTAGGAAAATAGTTAACTAAGATCAACTATAAACTTAAATTATAGTTCACATCATTTGAGTATGTGGGCTCTTAGTGGATCAATCTAAAACTTGATAATGTACTAAGTTACCGAGGAAATAATCAGAGTCGTGCAGTCATTGTGAGATTATGTGTGGGTGCTTAAATCTGTCTAATGGAAAGAGGAATGTGTCACGTACTCAGGTGAAAGAGATGACAGCTAACGAAGAGTGTCTGAGTGAATGGATCGGATGGGAAATGGGAGGGACTTCAGACAGTCTGTAAGGTGTTTGATTGGATAGAAATTGAAAACAGGAAGTGTCACGGGGTGGAGGAATAGAGTTTATAAGCGTGGAAACAGACCTGACACACAGCAGAATTGTACAGGGGGGCCCCCGAATGCAGGTAATATATAAAATTCTCTCTTGTTCACGCATTGTTGAAGTATGTGAAAATAAAGATGTTGTTAATTCTGACATGTGTGTGTGTGTTCCTTCCGAGCAACAACCCGGGCAGGATGGAGGAGGAGGTATTTCATGTTTTCCTCAACAATTTTCATCAACTTATCAAAAAAAAAACACTTCCGAAACACCGAGAATGAACTATGTTCAATGCTGGAACTGCTGCTGTTTGGAACTATGTGCGGCTGCATGACCCACGTGACTTCTGCGTTCATTCTTTCTATAGAAGTCTATGGGAGTGTCACAACTCTGTACGGCTCTGGGTGACACTAATGAGCCGCTGGCAGCAGTTTTAAAATAGTGACAGTGACCTCTGCTCAGGGATTTTACCCAGCGAGGCAGAGTTTGTCACTTTGCCTGACTGTCCAAGCTGAAACTCCTCTCTTCTTATGGCACTCGGTCCTGGTCTCTGACAAAGAGAGGCTGTCCCTCTGCAGAATATGACAGATCTTTTCATCAGGATTACTCCTTGAACTCACACACCTGCACACATCGGACAGACCTACAGCTGCCTGTGGAGATGAAACGCTCATAAGAATGCTGCTTTTCATGAGCTGGGTGAATCTAAGCTGATCCAGGATTTATTAATTAAATAAAGCCTGAAAAAAGGTGCTCTTTGTTTTGTGCTGCAGGTCTCTGTGTGTGGGACGAGACTCCAACAAACCGTGGGACACAAATCTGCTCTCTGTGGGACATTATACACCAACACAGAAATATAGTCAAATAATAAACATGTTTGTACAGATTTGGTCTTAAACATTATAAATGCTTAGATGTTTTATTTGAAAAAACATTTTATGGTTCAGTTATTAGCCTGTATGCACTTGTGTTTTTATTCCAAAGTGTTTATAAATACCATATTTAGTTACTTTGTTAATCCACAAGTAAAAAAACCAAACTGTTACAGTTTAACACACTGTGATATTGCACAGAGTTTTTATCTTAGGTTGTGTCGTGGCTGTATTTGCTTTTAGTTTTCATAATCTGCGTAGTTTAACTTGTGCAACAAAGTGAAGTCAGATCCTCTGGATGGTTTCTTTGTGTTGAAACGTTTTGTCCTCCATCCAAGGGACTTCATCAGTCCGAGGAGCCACAACAAGCTCAGTCCACAGGCAGCACACTCACATACTGGACCAACCAGTTTGATGATGATTAGATGATTTCTGGATGGCTTCTTCCTCAGAGGAGTCGACAGGGGAGAGGGTGGACTCCAGAAACCATCTTATCACCATCTAACTCGTGTCAAACTCAAGGCCCGGGGGCCAAATGTGGCCCTCGTTGACATCTTATCTGGCCCCCCAAGATGTTATTTTAAATGTAAAATACTTTTATCACTTTAATTTTTTTCAGCAATCTTTGATTACGATGTCAAAAGTGCAACAGAGAACGTCAAATGAGACCAATCAAACTCTTGTTGAGGAACCTGCAACCAAGAAACGATGTTGGGAATCTGACTTGAGTTAATGTAGATCATGAAACTGGCCCTTAGTTTGAAAAATGTTTTAATTTTTAACTTTTGTAAGTGGGTTTACACCCCTGATCTAACTTGTTGGTCCATTATGTGAGTGTGCTGCCTACTCAGTTTGTTGTGGCTCATAGGACTGATGAAGTCCCTTGGATGAAGGACAATACAAAGAAATACAAATAAACCGTCCAGAAACTCAACTTTGTTGGATTTTGTAGCTGGAGCACGAACTTTGACGTTTAACTTGTGATTTATTCCCAACAATTGTTTTCCCAGCTAGCCAGCAAAAATGCTGACAGGTGCACTCGACCAATGTGTGCAACGTTTACTATTGATGACTTCTGTTCCTGTTTTCACCAATAAACTACATTTGAGAGAAACATCTGTCCTGCTGTGCTTCCTTTTACAACCAGGTTAGTGGTCGAGAATCCTTGAAATATTTTTTAAATAGTTTCCATGTAAATAAAGGCCTGGGCACAAAATGATGTGAATCTGAACGTACAGGTCGTCTGTAGGATGAGGCTGGTACCACAAGGTGTGTGTGTGTGTGTGTGTGTGTGTGGGGGGGGGGGGTGCAGTCATGATCTGCTCACTGAGGCCAATCAAAGGAAATCTAATCCGTTCTCCAGAGAGCGTGCATTCCTGCTCGGAGTCTCTGAGACACAGACATGCAGGGGATTGTTATAAAACTTGTGATGGGATCCTGCAGAAAAACCACCCTGTCCAAAATTTAAAAAAAGTATTTTTCTCTCTAAAAGTTGTTTACTGAAGCTTAACGTTATCTAAATAAACATGAAAGGACATGTCAAAGAACCTCATTATTGTTGAACACTGTTTCTGTTTTGGTTGCCGCATTTAGTTTTCTACTTTGTATTTTACTGGAAATAAATGACGCCTATGTTGTGATCGATGTTCATCATTTACTCAAACTTTATAATGACATTTATAATTAGCACTTTAATTATCCATCCTAGGCAGCACGGTGGCACAACTGGTAGAGCTGCTGCCTCTCAGCGAGCAGGTCCCTGGTTCAAACCCCGGTCTAGGGGCCTTTCTGGGTGGAGTTTGCATGTTCTCTCCGTGCATGCGTGGGTTTTCTCCGGGTACTCCGGTTTCCTCCCACAGACCAAAAACATGCATGTTAGGCTGATTGGTAACTCTAAATTGTCCCTAGGTGTGAGTGAGAGAGTGAATGGTTGTTTGTCTCGTTTGTCTCTATGTGTCCCTGTGATGGACTTGCGACCCGTCCAGGGTGTACCCCGCCCCTTGCACAGTGATTGCTGGACATGGGCACCAGCGACCCCCGTGACCCAAAATGGAATAAGCGGGTAAAGAAAATGGATGGATGGATGGATTATCCATCCTTTCGTTTTCTTTACCTGCTTTTCCCCCCTCCAGGTTGTGGAGGAGCTGGTGCCTTTTTCCAGCTGTCACCCTGTTTGAACAGGTTCACAGAGCTGCTTTAATTATAATTTGACTATTTATATTAAACTTGCGTTTCTTAGATTTTCACTCACTGTGAGAAGAGTCAAGTAGACATTCACTTCTATTGGCATTGTTTAACATACGATGGTACAGAATCAGAATCAGAATGCCTTTATTGTCATTATACGCAAGTACAATGAAATTAAGAGCCACTTCTTTTTTCAGTGCAAAAACACGCCTTAAGAAAAACACACACTAAAAATATAAAAAATGTAACGCAATATAGATATAATAGCACTATGAAAGTAAAAAATACAAGTATTTCACAATTATATTGCACATTATGGGTATTAGTGAGGTAGTTAAGGTGACTGAGGGTATGAAATGTCAGTAGTATTGCACAATAGAAGTCCAGGGGTTTGGGAGGTTAGATTATTAAATCAGTGCATATGTGAGTTCAGTGTGGTGATGGCTTTCGGGAAAAAACTGTTCTTGAATCTGTTTGTTCGTGTTCTGATGCAGTACAGTGTACAGTGGCTGGTAGCTGTTGCCTCTCAGCGAAAAGGTCGTCGATTCGAATCCTGGCCTGAGGCTTTTCGGGGTGGAGTTTGCATGCTCTCTCTGCACATGTGTGGGTTTTCTCCGGGTATTCTGGTTGCCTCTCACAGAACAAAACCACACATGTTAGGCTGATTGGTAAGTGTCCCTAGGTGTGAGAGTGAACTGTTTGTCTCATTGTGTCCCTGTGATGGACTTGCGACCTCTCCATGGTGATGATGTGTTGGACCGCAATGGAAATAAATGTTTTCACTTTCATATGTTGTCCATTGTTGGTGAATGCATGTATATGCATTAGTTTTACTAATACATTCAATCAATCAATATGCAAACTG